AAAAAAAGGCAAATCCACCCCTTTTCCTCCATTGCAAAGTGCATTGACTGGATTCAGGCCTACATGCAGGTTCCCCGGGTCTCTATTGTGCCTTGCAAATTTTTGTTGCAAACAGAGTAAATGGCCTGATGCAAAGCCTTTCAAATTGAATTGAAAACCTCCAGTGGGCTTTATTGGTTTTGGATCAAGCCCAGAAGAAACAGGTAAGAGCTGGACAAAATGTGCTAGGAAAAATCCCTTTGGGAGAGCATATATGTCTGACTGTAGCAAATTCACTGTAATCGTTTAAATAAAAGATGCACAGCCCCCCACCCTGACAGCCGGGCAGGGCCTCTACTCCTCAGTCTCCATTGCCTTTCCAGTAGTGGGGGTATGATATAAAATAGGGATAAAATGCCACCAAACATAGATGCCCAGCTTAAACCATGGTTAGGTATTATGCTGGATTATCTTTAGGCTGAAGAAATATATGTGACTGTGATTTGGTACCAAAGAACAGAGAAAACAGTTTTTCTTTTAAGCACTGGTTCCAGCTTCAAAGTTTTAAAGACTGTGATCCAAATCATCAAAATAACTTCCCTTAGAAATCAGAAAACTGAAAATCTACAAGGTTCTATATATTTGGGGGTTTGTCTGTATGTATTTAAGGGTCACATTTTGAAGGAAAGCTATTTAAAATATCTGTATTCTGAGTTTTCTAATTAAAAAATGGGACAAGAATTGCTTCTTCTGAACTTGCCTTCTAGTCAAGATATTTTCTACAGCCATGCGAGCTAGAAAACTGAGATTCTTATTGAGTCATGTGGCTCCAGGAGATGATTTAGCAAAGAAAAATCTTAATTTCTTGATTTCTCCAGAAGCAGATTTCTTTTATTATTAAACTGAAGCCACAAGGAAGATAATTTCCAGGTTTTTTGATTACTTGGGATGGGAGAAAGGAAACTAGAACTCTAGTCTCAGCCTTCAAAATTAAGAAGGCACAGAAATTATTTTGACTATATGAACTCAGTCAATTTGTTTAGCTTTCTAGATTTTGTCTACAGAGCAAAGTTACCGTGTGATATACTACAGAATTTATTTAATTTACAGTACTTATTTTGCCAGAAGACTCCTGTGAATGATGGTGCCATATATTAAGTAGGTCTTTATTCTGCTTAGCTTGGTATAGCTTGAAATTAACTTGATTAGGCTAAAAAGAAAAATATATTTCATAATAAGCACATACCAAAGTTATTTGGAAATACTGATTTCATTGTCAGTCTCAGATTCTTCACATGAATCAGCTTTCAGGTACAGAGAAACTATTGTCTGAACTATCCAAATCTTTCTGTGTCCCTCCTTAATGCATTTTTACAAGTATTTTTTAAAATTTTATACTCTCATTTATTTTGGGGCAGATGTATATGAAGGCAGGGCCTTTGATGAAACTAGAAAGCAACACTGAGTTGAAATGTCAAGAGGCACTGATTTAAATATACCCCCTATGAGCACACCTTAGCTCAGGCAGTATTCCTCAAAGCTCCTCAGAGCTTTTGATCTCTTGTTGCAGTTTGTAATGTAAAAGAAAATCAGAGGAGTTTTGAGTAAGTTAGGACAAGACCATGGGTGATTTCAAGGCTTTACTTTAAAACAGTTTCTGATGCTGGATGAACATTTTTTAGACAAAATCCTTGGTTGTAGACACCCAATCCAAATGAGCTGACTGCTAGTGAGTTAATTCTCATTAGCTGAGTTATCATCTGGGTTAAGCTAGGACCTTCTACTTTATGATTTAAAACAAAAGTGGATACCTAGTTAATTACTATGTCTCAGATGAAAAGCAGCAACACATTAGTCCCTAGTGATCGCTTTGACTTGTGAGTCCATTCCCATACTTACTTTTCTAAGTAATTTTATTAATTAAGGGATAGGATTAGGATTGGGTTTTTGGGCCATAATACTCTTCTCATGAATATTGCACGTTGTATCTCACTATCTTTGCTTTGTTTCTTAATTCTCCCATCATTTGTGAATAACAGTAAAATAGAACTGAAAACTCCAAGGACATACACCAAAAAAATCCTTTGAAAATAAGAACTCTGCTTACTATCATCTGGAAATCTCTTTATTCTCAAACCTTCTGTGATTTAGCCTGGGGCTTAATTCACTGTACAGTACCAATCAGCCAAATAAGCTTGAGCCAGGTTTGATTCTAGTTTTTGCACCTGTTAGAACAAAAAAACATTGAAGAGGCTTGGCTTATTTGGCTCTAGAGATACATCATTTAAGACGTTATTGATGTAACTTTACAAACTTCTCATCTCTGTATGTTTCAGGCCTTATATCTCTATCATGCTTAATTGAGCCAGGTCCGTATTTATAAGTGATGAGTAATTAATAGATAAGCACATAGGCGTTCATGTTAAAATTACATTAAGTTGGAAGAAAAAAAGAATAAAAGAAAAGAAAAAGGAGGTGATCAAAACCCATGCTTATTCCCTTGCCAGTAGACTAGGAGAATTCTTTCAGCTTCATCACAGTCAGCAAATACCTTCCACCTGTCCCACACACCGCAGGCAAATCGATCAGTATTTTTTTGATATGTATTTTCACAAGATCCCCCGTCTCATTTCTAGATCCACTGTCAGTGCATTTTAGGGTTGTAAGATGCACTGAAAAAATGTAAGTCACTATATGTGGAGTATTAAATCAATTGTACCATTCTGAATGGTGGTAGATGTGGAGCTCTTTCCCCAGTCTGCTGGTCGGCACCTTGAATGCTTGTGTTTATTTGTGGCCTCACCACAGAATTGCTGTGTGTTTGTTTATCAGCCAGTTCATCACTCCACCTCCAAGTCTTTCAGCTGTAATACGCAATGCTGCCTCCTCAAAGAATCACACGGGGTTGGAAGGGACCTCTGGAGATGATCTAGTCCAACCCTCTTGCCAAAGCAGGTCCACCTAGAGCAGGTTACACAAGAACATGTCTCTCACCATGAGACTTAATTAGGACCCAGCAACATTTTGGTTAGAGTCAATGGCAAAAGAGGCTTCTGACCTCACCAAAGGTTAATATTAGAATCTTAGTGTCTATCAGGCACTTTAAGAATCTTGGATGAAAGGTGAAGGAATGTAATAAGGAACAAAAAAAAAAAAATCACTGAATGCTGAGATTGCTGAGTTTGCATTGCACATGGCCTGTCTGTAGATGCAGCACAATATAAAGAAGTAATTACTTAAGTTTTTCAGAATGGGGCTGTAGTGGGAAAAATAAATGCTAGGGAGATCTGCTTTTTATACACAAAATATGTACAAGTAGCAGCTTTATGATCATTTAGTTACAGCTCTTAAAATGAGCCGGTGCGTTAGGCTTCCACCTGGTTCCTGTTATTTTTTGCTTATCCTGCATGCACGTATTAAATGCCTCCCTGCGAACAGGCAAAATGCTAACCTAAGGCTGGGAGCTTCTCTCTGGTTTTGGGAGAGCTGGGGATCTGCCAACCAAGACTGTTTCAGAGCAAAGCCCACATTCAGTAAATACTGTCAGGGACTCAGCGACCATGCAGGAAGATATTGATGTATTTGCAGCCTTATGGGGTTTCATTTTTTTCTTAATTTCACCTTACCTGCAATCTTTCAGTTACCAGTTTCCAAAAAGCTCAGCTAATCAACACCTGGAAGCAAATGGATCACTAGATGCACCCAAACCAGAAAAGCAAACTGAACTCCAAGGAAATTTTAATTTTAAGTGTATGTCTTGGACTGCTACCAGAAGCCCTTTAGAATGTCATTGTTCTTTGGGGGAAATTTGGATGTGGACAAAAAGACCATCAATAAAGACTGTCAAAACATCTGTTAAAAATCTGCAAGTTACAAAATGTGCATTAAAAAGATAATTAAATATAGATGGTGCAGTTTAAAGGTCTTCATTTTCTAGTTTGTAGAAATCTTCATGGGGTAGGCTTAGGCCAGGTATACCACTGGAATTTTTAAGTTAAAGGAGAAACAAAGACCAACCATTCCCCCCATTCCCCTCTCCTTTCCCCAGTTCCTAGTTAAGAGTGTACAGGAACAAGAATTTTTCCGTCTCTGGAGAGCAGAGGAGGAAAATGGCAGTTGTGAGTGAGAAAAAAAAAGCACACTGCTGTTCTGCTCAACTAATAGGAATGCAGAAGGCCTCTGCCCTTCTCTTCTTTCTGGGGGAACTACGTCTGCTCCTTTCCAACTATTCCTAGCTGGAAAATAAGAATGTAATTTCCCTCCTTTTTTTTTTCTTGGCTGAAAGAGTTTTTAGCTCTGCCGGCTGGGACGCCTGCCCTGGGCTCACTCTTGGCACATGTACTGGGTGCTGGGGTGGTGCTGGGGTGGTGCTGGACCTGCTGCCCTCCCGACTCCTCCCCGGGGGACAAGCGCTCTGTTGCAGGTCACTTAACCCTTGGGTGAAGCACCCACAAGTGGCTTTGCCTGTGAACATTCATGAGCATGTGAAGCAACGTCTTGACTAAGGACACCCTGCCACTTTGAGCTGTAATCCCCCCAAAAAGCTACTTGAAATAAAACCAGTAAGGGTACCGATCCCCCTCATCTCCTTGCTGTTGGTTTTAGAGTTTGGGGGAATGTATTTTTTCTTTTCTGAATTTGTATGTTGTGGGTTGAGGATTATGAGTGCTGTCTAAAAAACAGGCTTGGCTCGCTGACAGCACGTCAGATTCTGCAATAGGGGTTGTTTCTGTGCTTGTGGGTGTTGTAAAGTCCCTGAACTGTACAGGGATCTCGGGCAGCAGGTCCCTGTGAGGAGTCAGCTCAGCTGGCATTATAAAGCAAAAGGTGAAGTGCATTTCAGGCAAAAGAGATACACTGCATAGTGTGCTTGAAATGGACGTGCCTGATACTGTGTGCTTTTTGTTATAATTGATAATATTTTGGGAAGACTGTGGCCTGCAAACTCACCGAGCTAACATCATATCGTATGTCCAAACTGAATGCTCTTTAAGTAAATCTGATTTCTAACCCAACTGCAGCCCAGAAAGGACCAGACGGGGTCATCATTCCCAATAACTACTGTGACTTCTGCCTCGGAGGCTCCAATATGAACAAAAAAAGTGGTCGGCCTGAGGAACTTGTATCCTGCTCAGACTGTGGGCGCTCTGGTAGGTGACTCCTTCTTGCAACTTTCTTGTACAAAGGCATTTGTGTGGCATTTGGTTTTTGCTCCTTCTGAAGATTTTGAAGAAAGGCAGTGCATTTGGGAGGGGATAGAAGACAAGGTCTTACCTCGTGTCTGTGTTTGTGGGAAAGAATGACTGGGAAATTTTCTGTCATAAAACCCATTGTTGGATTCCCATTTTTAAGCTAATGGGGCCATATGAAATAATAAAGTTTTAATGTATTTATTGGCTTCTGTGAACATTGATACATGTACAAGTTGTTCTTCAAATGGAAGGAGAAAATCCTGTGACAATGTTAAAGAATGGGCTCTGTCTTCAAATGCTGCAATTACAACTATAAATTACTTACAAGATTTATGAAAGTTGCATGACAAGCATTTCCATTGATTACACATTTCATGCATTTCTTCATCCAAAAAAGAAAGAGGGAGGAAATTACAGGGTAAGGATGGGGGTAGCTGTCAAGAATTATCCTCTTACAAGATGACTATCATTAATTTTGTTTAAAGAGGTTTTTATTTCTCCATTTTCTTCCCTTCTCTCTTTTTAAATGTAGGCAATTGTGTCTTTCCCATTCTGAGTTGTCTTTATTTCTGGACTGTTGTTTTCTTTCTTTTCTTTCTCTCTTTCTTTCTTTCTTTCTCTCTCTCTCTTTCTTTCTTTCTTTCTATTTCTTTTTTTCATTCTTTCTCTTTTTTTGGGAAATTTTATCCCAGCTGAGAAGTTATTTATAGCTCGCATGGGAGGTGGTGGTGGTGGTAAAGGGAATGGGAGACCTTTAACAACTGCATATTCCAGCTTTGGTCCAAGTTTCCAGTTGTGATGTTTCTGGACAGTGGTGATACTAGTGGTGATAAGACCATCAAATGGAAATCTGAAAACCAGAGAGACCTTGAAATTCAGTATTCCTGCTGCTTCTGTACTGTAGTCACTGAAAAATGTCTGTTGTGTGGTGGCTGAAATGTGATGTGGAGTGTTCTTGTGCCAAGGGAATGGCCTTTTTGTGCTCCTGCTGAAATTCATTGTAAGCCTCTTACCACATTCAGTGGGAGCAGGACTAGACTCTCACTGACAAATTGCCTTCTGCAGTTGATGTGACCTTTGAAGACGTTCTGAAGTGATACTGACTTGTTACCAGAGGACCAATGGTTTTCTCCAGGGGAGTCCTTATGAATGCTGTGCAGTCAGGGACATGGACCTTTTAGTGTGTATATGTTGGCTTCTTAATAACTGAAGGAGAAAGCTCATGTGGTCTGAGGTGCCATCTTGGAAGATTGTTGCCCTTTCCCTTGATTGTTGTAGCTCCAAATAACTCATTTCAGCGTGGTCCTGATACGGCACAGTGAGATGGATCCATATTTTTTGCTATTTAAACATTGCTATGGTGATTATATCAGAATGTAACACAAATACATTAATTCCCTTGATTCCTTAGTGTGATAGAACAAATACATCCGCATGTAACCTGAATTGTGCAAAATCAGTTCCATTAAATGCTATCCTTTTACAAATTCTGACCCACCTGGGTCATTCATAGAGGTCTGCAACGCTGTGACTGATGTGTGATGAAAGTGATTAAGGTACAACCACACACTAATCTGTAAACTTAAACAATGAAAACTCTTTGATGGCTGCCATCTTTCTCTTTCTTAATAATGGAGAGCATTTTCATTATACTGAAAGAGAGGTCATGGAAATTATATTGTTTCTTCCCTTCACAAAGTCAGTAAAATGACATCTCTACAAGGTGGTTCACCTGCCAATTATTTCATTATATCCATTTTCTTTTCGTGAACAGGATTTAATTCTTCATTTCTCAAGTAATGCAGTGTACTTGTTATATGGCTGATTCTTGTAGCTGGAGCGGGGACCAAACGGTTGCTTAATACCATGCTACTGTTTCTGAATAATAAAATAGCCGTTCCCAAAAATCTCACACTTTCATTTTGCTGGGGCACAAGAGACATCTTTTTCTCTGCCTTACCTGAAGAGGGAATTTGGAGGCTATACTATTAATCACATAACATGTTTGATTGAGGAAGAAAATAAACCTCAGTCTTGCAGTCTTGTTTCCGTTGTTGTTGTTGCTATTGATGTCCTGTGTGGAGAATTTCCTGTTCCATATTGAAAGTTGGATTGACTCACACACACTTGAACTTTTCAGTGTTCCCCAAGACAGAACACTTCTCAGCTGTTAAACTGTATATATTTGTTTTGTTTTGTTTTTTATTTTTGAAGGAGATGCCATGGAATTGGAATAAAAGCACTTGTTTAGGTTACTTCCACTTAGTCTTCAAAATGTACTTCATTTTGACTACAGAGGAGACTCTTTAGGATCAGCTGAAGGACAGGGATAAAAAATAGTCCTGAGGTTGATGAGCTACCCAGCAGGTTACATTTCTACAGCAGTGAATTTGTGACAGTTGATGCCAGTCTGAAGGACAGTCATTGTGCTTAGAGCTAATGGTGTCTAATTACTTATAAGGTCTAAAAATCTTTTAAAATTGATCTAAGTAATCACAAGAAAATACTTTAATGTATTTCGAAGAGAGGAAAATATACAATTAACCCTTTCGCTGCCATAGCCATGGGCACCTGTGTTGTTTGTAGATTATTTTTTTTCTTTGAAAGAGAAACTGATCCTTTTTTATATTTCTTGCTGCAGTTCAACTGAGCTATGTTGTTGAGGTGCGCGGGCACATACAAGCACACACCTATGAGCTCGATAGTCTGAATTGTTTGATAATAATGATGATTAAAAAAAAATTATGATGATGATGCCTATTGCTTAACCCATGTGCTGATATATTCATCATACATGTCAGCTCATTTGGGAAGAGAAGGCAGGAGGGACGAAGCAGCGCCAGCACGCACTACGGAGGACTTGTTCGGTTCCACGTCAGAAAGCGACACCTCGACCTTTCATGGCTTTGACGAGGACGATGCAGAAGAGCCTCTCTCGGGCCGAGGAGGTGGCTGTGGTGGCAGCTCTCCCTCTGCAGACAAAAAGGGCGGCTGCTAAAATAACTAAAAAGACACACAAACTCTGAGTGATTTGCTGTCCTTTTTACTACTAGGATTATTATTACCTTTTTCTTTTTTTAATTTTAGGTCCTTGGGTTTTTGGGGGTTTTTTGTTGTTATTTTTGTTGTTTTTCCTGTGGGGTGTACACTGAAAGCACAAGCGTTTAAAGCTTTTGACAACTACTTTGAAGAGACAGAAGGTTTTGATTTTCCTGTTATTTTTTTCATTTTAATTTGTTTTCCTCCCACCTCCCCCCCTTCTCTTTCTCTCTGGAAACATAAAAGGTGGATTTAATATTTTTTTTAATAGTGAGCAGAGTTGATTTTCTTGTCTTTTAATATATATATCGGCAAACCACGAAAAATACAGATGGGTTGGAGAGCAGAAAGCAAACGCAAATAGGTTTTTTTAATTATTATTATTTATATATTCTATATATTATTAGAAAAACTACTTTTTAAATAAAAATACAAAAAAACAAAAAGCAATGGATGTCTACTTGATAATAGAACTGTTTCTAGAAAACCACTGTGGGCGGACTCTATTGGAGGACAAGGAAACCCTTGATGTGATGGCTTCTGCGTTTTGAGATTTTGCACTTACTGTAGCATGTGGAGTTTGGCTCTTCTTGTACACCTGCTACGCTTGTCCTTATCAGCCTGAAAATACAAGCAGCACCATTGAAGACCATGACCTTGGGGAACACGTTTCCATCCCTCCTTTGGACACCTTTACACTCAATAGATCTCTTCTTCCCTGCACCCCTTCATGTCTTCCTCACTCCGTTCTACTTTTTTTTTCTTTTCCTTCACCTTTCACTTCATGGACAGCAATTTCCAAGCGTAGGGATGGAATATGAATGGCAAGTTGTAGACATCAAAGAGAAAACAGACGGAGGAGCAGAACCATGGAAGAAATTATATGGAAAAATACCTCACCTGTACTTTTCTTTCTATTTTTAAATTTTAATTCACAGCATTTTTTCCTGTGTCGCCCAGTTTTTTCTCTCTGTAGTGTCTTGTGAGACACTTTGTTTGCTTTTCAATAGCTTCTCTATAAACCAAAGCAATAGTCATTAAAGTTCCAAGGGCAATGGAGAAGAGAGTGACTCCCTTCCCAGCGACTTTCCCAGAAAGGAGGAAACACGCAGCAGGATTTGAAAGGTATGTCCAAGCTGAAATGTCTTTCACTCAATTGTGAAATCTCTGTGCCCTGGATTTTCAACAGACCCTTGACTGAGCTTTGTTGTAGGAGTAAGTCCCATGGATTAAATTGTGTTATGAGTACGCGCCACATTCACACCCCTGGTGAAGCTAATGGAAGTTCTGTGAGAGCAGGATCCAGCCTCGTTGTACAGTCTGAAGTGATTCAAAAGGAGTCAGTTATATTTTGCTGTCCTAAAGCAGGCAAAAATCTCCCTGAAGCAAAAGCAAGATTAGGTTCTAAGGGTATATTTTTACTGCTGTGTATAATGCCAAACTGGCCTCTTTTAATTTAGAGACAAACCAGATATTTATCTGGGCCATGTGTAATCCTTAAACTGGAGGTCTTGGTTTTGATACCAGAGTAAAAATCTCAGTCTGACAATGAAGACCTTGGAGATATATGTATATTGTTCTAATGCATGAATGTCGTGGTTTTGACCAAATTGACCAACCAGAACGACAGATGAACGACAATGAATTAAGCCTATCCAAATGGATCCCATTTCTCCTGTTACTTTTTCTGGGGTAGCACAATGCAGTTTGTGAGAGCTCTTTAAACTCCCTCCCCATAAACCTTAAAAAAAGAGAAAGGATCCATTCTCTAATTTTTTTATTGTTCACTTTAGACATGGAATAAGCAGTGGCCCGATTCTGCTTTTAGGTGCACGGGCATCCAGAATACGTGCTAACTGATGTCTAGAAGACATTAATAATCTGCCTTCAGAATAGTGTTACAAAACATTACAAAACACCTCTGTGTGTTTATACTGTAGGACAGCGCATGTCAGAGCCACACACACCTGCCAGGATAAAGCCTTGTTTAAGCTTTCCCCATATTGATAATCCTTTTCTGTTGCTATTCTCTTCCTGCTGGTGTATCATAATCGATGAAGTGTCAAATCAATGATATTTTGACTTAACGCTGTCAATGAAAAGTGTACTTTAACTGATAAAAACATTCATTCCTTCCACAACCAGTCCTTTTTTCTCTGAAGGAAGACAAGATACATTTATAGTATTTTGCCACTCTTCTTTATTTACTAGAAGCTCAAACTTCAGATGGTTTCCAGGGGTGAGGTGCAGACATACAAGCATCTGCTTTTTCAAAATTCCTGAAAGTGTTAGGACTTAGTTTGCATATCTGTATCATTTTATCTATCTATCTTTCTGAGTGTGTATGTTTAGGTAAACATATCAGAAATGTATGTGCACAGACACATACACACATATAGGTAACGTAGACATTAAAATAAAGAGCAACAGAAATCAAAACGGAAGAGACTTCCCAACCAAGAATGCTGGGACCAGCCCTCGTGTGAGGCACTGTGGGCTCACTTGGTCCATGCTGACCTTACTGCAACCAAAGTGTAGTATCAGTAAAGTCCAGTGGATTTTGTCTAAATTTATGCTAATGTAAGTGAGAGCAGAACCTGGTCTAGAAGTAGAGTTACAAATAAATACTGCAAATCTGAAATGTTATAGACTTTAAAAAATGAAATTAAAATTGATTTATTCTCCTACTGCTGCCCTTCAATCCCACATTCCTTTAAAAAAATTTTTTTTCTTTCTTTTGCTACTCTATGATGTACCCATGTGAACAACAGGGAAAACAGAAAGGGAGCAAGTAGTACCTAGAAATGTGTCAAATCCACAGCAAGCAAACAACAGGATTTCTTGCATCCATCTTGCATCTACTTCTTGTGTCCATGTAGCAGTCACATCACACAGATCAGAAGGTTAAGAAAGGAGTTTTAATTTTACCCGGTGTTCCTCAAAGTACAATCAGAGTATGCTTTGACAGGGAAAGGCTCACAGGAGTAATGAAGACTTGAATTATCAAGGACATGAAGACAGTGCAGTTTCCATCTGTCTTCCCTGTACTGTCTGGGAGGTGCAGGCTCTACACCCCTGGAACCAGCCACCGGTGCAGGGGTGGCAGCTCAGAGCTCTCTTTACTCATCTTCTTGCATGCTCTTGTGGCCCATCCTGAGCTCCACGCTGCTGTGCTGACTCTAGTCCTCGCAGCGCCTGGGCCAGCTGGCTGAAACCTACCCAGGTATATCTTTTCTGAAGAACTCCACTCACTGCATCAACTGCAGAACAGGCATACTTTAAATAGAATTTTTTCCAAGTAGAGTCCTTACCATTGTTTTTTTGTGAACCATGCCTAACACATTCTGGGCTCTTCTGGAATACAAACAATGATCAGATGCCCATAATTCATTAAGTCTTGATTTAGTTTCACAAATGCAGTTACTATAACAATGCATACAGTCTTAATCCTTTTGCAACTTAACCACCCATCTTTGTGACAACCGGGTAGCACAGTACCCTCAGAAAGAAGCCACAACAGCTCAGAGAGTGCATAAAAATCACCAGCTGACATTTATTACAGATAGCATAGAAAAAGACCCATCGCTGTTACTTATATCATTAATGTGTATATGGACGGTCAGTGGTTCAATCTAGTCCTGAGAGAGGAAGGAAGGTAAAATAAATTGATCGTTATGGAGAGCAGAGTAGTCCTTGGATTCCTCAAGATTTCTTATTAAACTGAGGTAACCAACATGAGTTTATGCCAGCAGGCTGAGCAGTGTGGTACTAACCATAGGAAGGCATCAATCATAGGGAGGAAATGAAGATGTAGAGGTGGAAGTAAAAGAGTACTTGTTTTAGCTAGATTGTAAAGTAGTGCTAACGGTGAATATCTAATGGAGTGTTGATATGGAAATGAAATATTCTCAGGGCAGGTACTGCTGGAGTGAAGGCTGGGAACAGGGAAAGAAGGTTGGTAGCTCGTAAGTCAAAGATGAAAGCAAAGCAAAGGGGCTACTATATAAGACTCTCTCAGATGGACGAGAGGAAGACGACAATTATAATGAGGCAGAAAATATATATGAGGAGATTTCATATGTGCAACCAAAAGGAAAAAAAAAATGGAGAAGCCTGACGCTAGCATAGCCAGGTCAGAAATGAGGGAACTGCACGATGCCAATTGTATCTTCAAAGACACATAAGTCCCAAACCAAACTAGGAAGGCATAAAGAGAGTTTTCAGTGTGAATTCTGGGTTGTACCTAAAAAATACAGTCATCTTTGAAATCAGAAAGGAATGCGATGCTCTGCATTCCCCAGTGATTTCAGCAGTTCAATGAGACCTGCTGTTCTGAGCTTCATAAGAAGATCTTTGAAGGTGCAGTCCTTCAACTAATCACAAGCCTGGCTCCTTCCGTCCTCCTCCAAAGAAGTCCTTCTTATTAGAGGAAGGTTAGCACAAGGCTGTCCAAAGATTCTCCTGAAACATATGATCCCACACAAGCCATGTACCAAAATAAGACACTTTCAATGTGAAATGTGACTAAGTGGATGTTTCAGGCCCTAAATTCAGACTTTTCTGTGTTTAATCATGTGAGCTGTCTCCTCAGGCACCTTTCTACTGCTCCATACTAAAGGACCTTAGAAAAGACACATAATTTTCTGAGCCATCCTCTGCAAACTGTGATTCACAGGTGGAAGCAGGAGAAATAAGGAAGTGACGTGCTGCTTGAGTAGCTGATTAGGGCAAATAAAGGCTATGTAGAGTGTGCACTGGTCCTTAGCATGTTGCCTTTTGTGGCGCTTAATTAATTGACATTTTAGCAGGGACAGACCTCGGATCTTGCATGAAAACAGTTTAAAATTCTAAGCATGATAATATTATATATGGAGAGAACTTTAAGAAAATATGGGATTCTGGCATAACAGTTAAAAAATCAAAGGAGATCGTGAGGCATGTGGCAGAACAGGGATGGAACTGAAATCTGTTTTGCTTCACTTTGCATCTCTTCCCTCCACCCAGGCGCCCCCAGTTTTGTGGGCTGGAAATTTATTTCTTGTACATATAATGGTGCTTAGAATAACATTGTACATATGTGGCAAGGTCATAAATGATGAGCCTGGGCTGCTGAAACAAGGTCCAGAAAGAACTTTGCCACTGGCTTCAGAAGGATTAGCAGTGGGCTTTCTTAGCTATTGCTTTTATTGAATGAAACCTCCCTGTTAATACGCTTGCAGTATGGTGTAGACAAGCTCCAAGATGGCCATTTGTTTCAGCAGAATGTGTTATTAGAATCCCCTCCCCGCATTGTTTTGCCTTTGAGCTTTTACATTAGTTATTCATTTTCAGTTCTAGTTTGCCATTTTACAGACCTCAGCTTAGGCTCTTGATTGAAGACAGAGGCTCAGTTTGCTGCCTGCTGATGCATGGAGCAAATGAGAACTGCACCCAGAGAGTCGCTGAGTCCGGACTGTGCTGGGTAACCACCGCCTTCTCTCCTGCCTTGGCCTTTCTTTGGTTAATTCTTGCAAGGATATTTTGAGATTGGCCCTAAAATTATAATTCAAATGCCATCAAACCATGGAGCTTTCAAAGCCTGGTTCCTCATGCAATTTGCCTCTTCCCCATGGCAAGCAGTTTTCCTGGATCAATTCCTCAAGCAAACATTGTATGGACCCCACTGGGAGTCGTCTTATTATAAAAACTGCAAAATCTGCCCAGGGTGTTTTGTGCTGCAACATATGTAGATGTTTCCAATAAACATCCATTTCTTATTCTCTGTAATTTTTTCTTATTTATATAAAATTTGTAGCTATGAGTATATGTGAAGCATGAGGCAAATGCATGTGTTCATGCTGGCATGGGATTGTTTTGACAAACCCTCACAGTGCAGGAATGTAGCCAGGCTGAATTTTTGCTGACTGAGCCATTACAATAAACCCTACCAACCTTTGTTCTTTTTGCCAGTTATCTACCAGTTGAAAAAAACCCAACCTGTATAAATACTATAGATTACCGAAATTGGGTCAGGACTATATTCATGTCCCTGTCCGTATCTCCATAAGTGTTAAGTGGCCAATTTCAGAGAAGTCGTAGTAACATTTAGAAAAAAAACCCAGCTGTTGCGATTTCAAGTTCTGATGCCCCTGTTAAGGGGATGCTGCCAGTTTGTATCTTTGAGTTATTCTTTTGGTCACTGGCATCTCCAGTTGGACCTTCGTGTCATCCAGAACGGCTATGAGAGGTGTGGGGAAGACATGGGGGGAGGCACTTGCATTTTGTGGAAATAAAGAGATTGGTTTAATGGCTATCTAATAGTGCTCAGGAGCTTAGCGGTATGCAGCTTAGTTCATTAATGGATTCAACACAATGCAAAATGCAGTCTTTCACTTATTTCCAGAAGTTATCATATTGCTGCCACCCTATGTGTATCCTTCAGACTTCTAAAAATGGCTTGTGCAGCGCTGCATACACTTGTGGCTCTGTACAAATAATTAGTAATATAGCAATGTAATCGGAGCAGGGTTTCATAAGCAAAGGTCTTAACCTCTAGTGAAGAGACAGCTATGTAAGCTGAATGATGAAGATTATTTAATGATGTTCACAGTAAGAAAGATTGACAGCGTTCGGTGCCTTTCTTTTGGATATGCTCCTTCATATCCCTATTTGTTTGCTTTGTATTTACTCATGGCTCCCATGGTCAGTTGAAACCGAGACTGTCGAGCTATATTTTCAAAGAATTAGAATGCAAACAGTGTCGGAAGGTTGGTCTGTGCTGCTTCTGTTTTTTTTCTGAACGCTTGCTTTTGTTGTCTGAGTTTGTTTAGTTTTACTTTGTGTTGCCTTTCCCTCTGCAGTCAGCCCTGCCCTCATGGACTCCAGCATCCTTCAAGCAAGACATTTCAGAAGGCGGCCAAGAGAAGCCAGGATGCTTTGATACTTCTCCTCTCCTTGCCCTGACCCTTCCATACCCGTGTTTCATCTGGCACAGGAGCCTGGACTGTGGGAAGTCGGCTGCCAACTGTTGAGAGAAGTTCTGGGGATGCCCTAAGCTGGTGCAATACAAAGAAGTTTTTTAAAGTCTTGATTTCACTTTCTTTTAAGCGTGTGTATAAACCCAGGTCAAACTGGAATTGATCTACAGTAGAACTGACTGAAAAACAAACAAACTGAAAAAAGACTTAACTATTTTATTTATTTCGATATTTAAGAGAGAAAAGAAGTGCTGAAGTTGCACAGTATTTTTGTTTGAAATACATTTTACTTCAAATTTTAAATGCAATTTTGTGAAGACATGAAATTTTAAAAAAGCACTTAATGTAAAATAAAGACTGAATATTTACTTTAAGGAAAAAACTTTTTTTAAATAATGAAAATAAAGATCAACTCTGCTCTCTCTCTTACTTTAAAGAAGCCATTCATACATGTGCTGGGTATCTTTGTTTTTTGCAAATTGGATGTGGTAAGTGAAGATTGTTCTGGTTTACTTTCTCCTTAATAATATTATCCTGTTAGATGCTTAGAACTTACTTTGCTGTACTGTGTTAGCCACAAATCTGAACAAAACCTGTTGAAATAGCAAAGACCAGGCTCAGTGATTGGATTTTTTTGTTACCAGATTCTGTGTCTGATTCAAAGGACTCTCTTCTCCCAGTAGGATTGATGTGTCTTTTCTGCAGAGTGAAAGGTTTGCTCTTGAGCAACTCTGTGAAATACTTCTGCTTCTGAAAGAGGGGTTTAAAAAGGGAAAACAACTCTGTTAATTTTAGTATTTTTTTTTGCTTTGGTAATTCCACAGGTGATTGTGAGTTGGTTGTAAGGGAATTACATAAATGTTCAAGTGCTCTTGGCACCAAGCTTCCTGTTGGAGTCATGGATGATGCCATGTGTAGGAACCTTGTGTACTTCAGCCCTTTCTTAAGTGGTAGTGGACTTCGAAAAGCGTGCAGGTGCACCCGCAGATCAGCAGTAAGCATCAGGGGTTACTCAGCAGGAGAAGAATGATGCGAATTTCCGCAGCTACAATCCTAAATTGCCCTGTGAGGCAGCAGTGAGGGATGCTCACATCCCGAATTCTAAGTTGCTAGTCATCTTCTCAGTGAATAAGGTGTTCTGCTCCGTACAAGCAATGGAGGATTTTGTCAGCTGCCAGATCTGCTCATGGTGGATAGCACAGGACTCTTTGCTATCATGTGGGATGCACTGTGGTAAGGATGCAGGATAGCCTTGTGTCCTGGGAGAAGGGTATTGGACTTGGCTCTGAGATTAGTTTCTCCTCTGTTGCAGGGGTGCCAGATGTACCTATTCGTTCAGACCCAGGGCATAGATAGAAAAAGTGGTTTTGTAACTGTGGCTCATGTTGGCTTTTGGAGTGAAAAGTGCTATGTCTACAAAAAACACATCCTGACTAGGTGAAGCTGCCAGAGAGCCCGATCCTGCATCATGTTTCTTGCACACCTAAAGCTCACCTCATTGCGAATTTTCCATGTGTCAGTAGCAGCAGATTTTGTGCTCTTCTCGCTTCCCCTTCTCCTTCTCCTTCCCAGATTATCCCATAGGGCCAATAATAACTGTGTAAGATGTCTGCTAGACCTAAGTCCTGTTCCCACTAAGTTAAATGACAAAATTTATGTCCTAGTTGGGCTCATGAGCAGGATAGTTTTGTTTTGTTCATTTTGTTGGTTTCTAAACTTGCAATGGTGAACTGCCTCTAGGGAAAAAAAGAAATCAAATTTTATTTCATCAAAATATAACAAGACGCACAACTGTAATGAAGATTTGCAAACTGTAGGGTCTGTGTTCAGTTTGTGTAATATTCCTTCCAAATAAAAGTTCTGCTTCCAACGTCCCTACTGTATATTCCTCTGTAAATATTACTTTATCAAACCAATTCCACAAGGTCTTTTTTAGTGCAAATAATCTTCTTTTAAAAAGACATTGTTGAATAACATACTACTTGTACATATACTTTTCTAAGCTCTCCATTGTTTATAATACTCTCTTTGAAGCTTAAAATAAAACTTCCTCCTCTATTGATTTTGTTTCCCTTTTCCATTTTGTAAATTATTACTTTAGTCCCTGGATTTTGTTTTGTGTTTCTTAATGAAGCATGACATTAACCAAAAATTGTCTCCCTTTTTCTCTTTTACTTTCTCTTCTCCATTCATTGGACTACAGAAACTGGTCTTGTTGCTTGCTATAGTGAATGTAGGCAGGAAATAAAATACTGCTTTTGTGTAGGACTCTTAAAATGAGTGTTTCCTATCATTTGGTGATAATAGAGGATCTTCCTACATGTGTTTGTATTTTAATAACCTTCTCCGTGAGAATAATAGAGTTGCATTAAGTTAATTTAGATTCAAAGGTGGAGTCTAAATTGTACGAGAGCTTTTCGTACAGCTTTTAGTGGCACTGCCTGAAGGAGCGGTGCCCCTGCCTGTGCCATTTCTAACCCAGTCACTGGAGCGACTGGGATCCCTGGGTCCTTTGGCTGTACCTCACAGTGCAGCCATGAACCCTCCCTTTCCCTTTACACACCCTGGATTAGTAGTGTGGCTGTATACGATAGAAAGAGGAAATACTGTTTCAGATTTAATGCCATCTTTTTAGGAAACTCTGTGAGCCCGGTTTGGGGTGTCCAGGGCCCACTCCCCGCTCAGGGAGAGGCCTCGCGGGCACTTGTTGCCGTGGCAACCGGGGTCAGCTGACCCAGTTGTTTACCCCGTGGAGGGGTCAGGTGACTCAAACTGACCAATGGGGTGTCGCATCCCGTCGGCCATGTTCTGGATAAACGGTGAGGGAGCGAAGGGGCCCCGTTGGCTCCTCTTCATCGGTGGCTTTTTCGGTGGCGTTCTCTCCTTGGTGACTGACGGCCAGGTAGGACCCTGTCGCTTTGTCTTCCTTTGATCGTGATTTGTGCGTTCCTGAAGGTAGATCTGAATCCAGTTCCCGTTTGTGTTCCCACTGTGTTCCCAGTCTGGAACTTTCCCAGTGCCTCTCAGTGACACCTCCCTGGGAGTTTGATGTGGTTTTGTTCATATATCTGATCTTTGATCTTTAAGGTCCCCTCCAACATGAACTGCGACTGTATGATCATTCTGTGATTTATATATATTGTATTGATTTCATTATTTCCTTTTTATTTTATTATAAATATTATGATAGTTCAGTGTTTTCTAAACTCATAAGTCGCTTTTTTCTCTTCTTGCTCTCCTTGGAGTGAGAGGTGGGGGAGACCATCTGTCATTGGCCAGCAGGGCCCAAACCACGACAGCCCTCTTCCCTAATAGGCCTGTTGTTTTTGTGAAGCTTTGTTGCCTTCTACCTTGCCATCAGTTTCTCTGCTACCAGCAAAGGCTATAGATGGCCCTTTTTACTTTGGCAGCTGCTTGCAAAAATAGGAGCTGAGGTGTAGTTTTCAAGAGATCTTCTGATGTAGGTACAGATCCTTTAGAGTAGTGAACTGCCTCCCTAGCAGATTAAATGGCAAAAAAGCCCTTAAGAACACATCAGAAATTAATCCAGTCAGGCAATACAGGGATGGTACAGATGTACCTGCCTAATTTTTAATAGTGTTGTGTGTGTCTTTGCAGCTGAGTATTAACTATTCTTGTTCTTTTCTAGCCTTTCCCTTCAAAGTTGGGTTTTTCAAATGGGTCATTTTAATTTCCACTGGTGTTTTGTTTCTTCACTCTTTCTTCAGGTCAGTATGACTTGAAAACTTCACTGCTTGCTTTCAGACCGTATCTTTACCTGTGCAAGGCCTTTAGTGATTCACTGGAAGAAGGAGGAAACCAAAAGACAGTTTCAGCTGCCTTAGATGTCCTCAGTCACTGTGGCTCCTGGGAACCTCTTTGGGATCAGATAGAGCAGCTTTTCACTTCTTACTGGGTTGTCCTCAGTTCTGTGGCTAAAAAGTCTTTCCTTCCTTCTTACTTGTTGGGTCCTGGGGATGAGAGGTGGCTGAAAAGTTGGGGTAAGGTGCTACCTGTATTTTTGAGCTGTGCTGAGAAGGTGGCTATGATGCTCTCCTTAGAGCACATGCTGGATGACAGGGTTGTTGGTTTTAAAGTCCCTCCTAGCAACCTCCAGTTTCCTTTCTGCAGTTTGGTCTCAGATATTCTTAAAATAATCTGAGTTGTAGGCGTACAAAACTACTTTTCCTTGGGGATTTCATGGGGGAGCAAATAATCTTCTTTCCTACCCCAAAGCAAACAGAGGAGGGAGGGTGTGTGATGACAGATCCTGAGCCCCTGGCCATGGCTGCTTTTGTTGTTCTTCTAGCTCCTCTCGAGCTTTCTGCTGTGCTGCATAGGACAGAGACACCCAGACGGAGGTTGGACTGAGGGCAAAGCTGAATGCTGACAAATCAAAGAAAGGGAAGTTGAAGAAAGGAAGGAAGGAAACTGCTTGTGGCATCAGTGCACTTTTCTTGTTCAATAGGTCATTTCCCATTCTAATGCAGTTGTCATTTTCATTGTCCCCAGTGTGATGGATGCGGAGAGCAGAGCTAGACATTTCTGCTAAGGTAACCAGGAGTGAAAGTGTACGTTGAAATTGGCCTTTATGGATGTCTGTCAACACCCTGTTTAGATGAATGGGATCCTTCCTACCACAGCAGAGCTATTGTTACAGGCTGTCAGACTCCAGAGAAGAACTCTGTAGAAGTCTTATTACTTTTAACATTTTGGTGCTTTTTTGTTGTTGTGGGTTGGGTTTTTGTTTAAGCTGCAGGCCTGGAAATAGAAATGTTCTAAAGGGAAGTTTTAATTTTGCAGAAATTATCTGAACAGAAAAAAATACCACTGTTCCCTAAGCCCCAGAACAGGCTTATGTTGACATGCCGGCTGGGAAGGTGTCTTATTTTCATGTCTGGAGAATGGCTCTTGTTGGTGAGATGCAGACATGGCAGGAAGACCTAGTGAAAGTGTCAGCATTGCAGCAGCTAATGGTTGTCCCCAAAGCCAGGATTCCCTGGGCTGAGACTGAACTGAATGCTGGCAAAGCTGAGGGCTGGAATCCTGAGTTCTCTGGATGGCTGAAAATGGCATTGGCTTCTTTGCTTTGACTTGAACTAGAATACTGCGCTGGTTTAAGATCTGTTCCAAACTTTTGCCTGGAATCAGGAAAAAATAATCTGGTTAAAATTGCATCCTGAAGCTGTGAGCCCTACTTGTAATCAGATCCATCAGCTTACAGATGATAAAAAAGCCCTCTCTAAACCAAGCTTTTAATGCTCATTGGCAATGACATAAACATCTCTGTACCCCCTTCCATCCCTGGTGTTGAAGATGGCTGAGGAGGAGCTCAATTACCTAAAGCATAAGTAGCAGAGCACATAAGCAGTGATTGTTCCCCTTAGCTTTGGCTAGGCTTGCCCAAATTATGGCTTGGATGTGTTTAAGATCTCCATTGTCCCTTGGAAATTATTGTAAAATTGTATTTCCTTTGCTATATCAAAGCTGGACATTTGCCACAGTTTAGTGTTACCTTTGATTTGAATGTCAGATGAGAGCCATCCATCTGTGGCATTTTAATTTCACCAGTATGTTTTTTTAAGATCTGACTGCATTTTTTGCTGTTTCAACAAATGCTCTTGCTGTGTGTGTGTTAAAAACGTTTACTGTATCATCTGTTATTTGATGTTTTGTCCTTGCAACCTGTAATTCTCCATGGTGTGTGTGCCATGACAGGAGAAGGATGACATTTACCTTTAAAAAAGCACAGATTTCTGGAGCACGGTGTTGTGGTTAACATTTCCATCCAGGATATAATTAGAAACAGTTTTGTTTAATGTTGTCTAAGATAGCTGTGGTAGCTCTGAGTGGCCTACAAACCAGTTTATGGCACTGCTGAGGAAAAGGCAATAGACTTTGCACATGGAAGCTGGTTGGTGGGCTGAAGCTCTTGGAACTACTGATTGGCTGAGAGCTGCTCTGGGGAGCTTGCAGAGGGGTGCTCCTTCTTTGGGATCCCAGCTGGTGGATGGTACCTCCTGAGCAGCAACAGATGTAGCCTCCCTTCAGTGTCTTAGGCTGAGTTTTTTTTTTTTCCAAGTGGATTTTAATTTCTCAGTGCTGTTCATCTTCCATAACCAATTCTCAGTAAGATCCTCTAGTTTACCTCTAGGTTTGCACAGCTGTTAAGAGTAATTTTTTGCTTGGACTGCAGGCCCTTCTCATTGTTTCTTCAGTCGTTGCTGTTAGTGTCCTGGTGTTGGTGGCTTCATTGTGGACTGCAGGAGGAGAATGAAAGTGACCAAATCTTTCAGCCTTCTGTTTTTTGAAACAGATTAGAGATTTTAAATAATGCTAGAGAGAATTTAGTCAGGTGTTGCTGAAGATTTAGCCTACTAGTTTGGTCTACTTTCATTAGCCAGTATCCATTAACTTCTTCATATGATGATCTCAGGAGTTAGTATTGAGGTCAGCGCTCCAATGTGAGAGGAAGTCATTGGATGGGAAACAGTTGAAAGCTGTGCTGTCACTAAAGGGGTATGGTTTTTATCAAGTTCATGTAGCACTTTGTATGGTGGAGTTTGCACGTGGTGGTTTTAAGCTCATGTTTGAGAAATTAACTTTCCCTGGTTGGTACAAGTCTTAGTAGCTTCACATCAGTTATCTGCTGGGAGTGGCTTAAATATGTTAAACAACACTAAAGTCTTTCCAGCCCTTTCCTCAGGCTCAACAGTTAGTTTTACAATGCAGTGGATTCTGCAGGTGAATCTTGGCTCAGTCTCATCCATTGCTGGGATCTCTGGGCTTGGGCTTCTTAAAGAACAGGTCCCAGCTCATCTCAGGTCTTTCCCCAGGAACTGTGTGTCTGTGTCCATCAGCCTGGATGCTTAGAAGAATTTTTAACTGTCCACAAACTCTAAGTTGAATTCAGATCACTGTTGTACTTTTCAGACATCCAGATGGTCCAGAGCCATGTATTCCTTTACCTGGTGAAGACAACCTTCCCTGGGTTAGGGAGCTTCGTTTCCTGTGCAAGGCCAGGTCAGCCTCTTCATTAATTACCTCTCCAAGACCCCTTCC